ATGATTTTCTGTAAGTCTTTATCCGTCTCTCACATCATTGTAGAGGAATTTTGGCCGACTCTACTTCACATTCCTTTGGTTCACTGAGGTTTGCAGGCATTTGTTTCCCTTAAAGATCCTCTTAAGCTCCCATCACAGCATTTCAATCGAGTCGAAATCGAGGTGAGGTCCGGGCGTTGACTGGGTCATTGCAGCACTTTGATCGTTCTCTTTTTCAGCCATTAGATTTTAGATTTGCTTGTGTTTGGGATCATTGTCCTGCTGCATGATCCAGTTTCAGCCAAGCTTTAGTTTTTTCACATTTAATCACTTAATTACTTTACTTCATGGTCAACTAAGTGTCAGGTGCCTAGGTCCAGAGGCTGCAAAACAACCCAAAATCATCCCCCCTCCACCACCGTGCTTGTGCAGATATGTTGTGTTTGGTTTTCAGCAAAGAACATTTTTTGTATTATAATCAAAAGTCTTCACATTTGTGTCATCTGTTCAAAGGACATCGTTCCAGCAGTCTTGCAGTTTGTTTAGATGCAGCTTTGCAAATTTCAGCTGTGCTGCCAGGTTTAGAGAGCAGAGACTTTCTCCAGGCAACCATTACGAACAAACCATTCTTGTTCAGTCTTTTTCTAATAGTGATAATGATAGTTTCTAATAGACTCTGAGATGTAGCTCTTGGGTTTTCTGCAGTTTCTCTGAACATTGCACCATGACCCTGGGCTGAATTTGTTGCAATGTTCCCTTCTGGGAAGACAGTGGTATTGTGTTAACACACATCTGAACTAGAAAAGATCAAGGTTATTTAATTATCAGCACCCAGCTGCTATTTACCCCGTTGATTTCTATGGAAGCAGCAAGAGTCGACTTAGTTTTCCACAGAACTAGATTCCTGTTCTGGCTCAAGTTATTTTTGACCTGACAGTAGATCTATGAGCATGAGTCAGTTCAATGTACTTTGGGGCAGAGTTTGGGACGTATTGACACAATGAGGACACATCTGTTTTTGTTCATGTCCATAATTAAAACTGCCGCTCAGTCGAGTTAAAAAGAGGTTTCACTCAAAGGAACTTCGAAGCATGTACAGTCACTGTGAGGTGTCACTCCAGAGGAGCTGATTGATGTTCAAGGTTGAATTTTTTTCATTAATGTGTAAAAAGAAAATATGAATTTGAAATTATTTGATCAAATTAGATTTTAAATTATAAATTAAAAATGTATTATAAAAAAAATATCATATATATTATCAATATTATTTTAAATTAGATTTAGTAAACAAATTGGAGTTTACTGAAATTTGGAGTAATAAGCAATATCATCTGCCTGATCCACTCAGCAGCTGTTCTGGAGTTCTAACAGAAAAGCAGACCCATCTACTATGTAATTCAAATTTATATTGTTGTTTGTCAACACCAACATTTTCAATAATAAGTAATAATATCTCACCTTATAATTTGAAATAACTGGCTCTGTTAACAGTGAGTTTCCTGCCATCCTAAAGGCATGACACAGTTTAGGAATAAGTAATCCTGCAATTACCCCTGAGTCTCAGAAATGCACACTGCCCCTATGTAGTTATAGATCGGTTAAATGTAGGGGGTAAGCTTCATCAACTTTTATGTCTGTTTTTTTGTTAGTAACTTATTTATATATTTTCTCGCTCTTAATTAGGAACAGTCATACTGAATACTTACAACATAAATGAATGTGCCCGATAAAGTTGGTATTCTACATATTTTTGGTGCAGTGATAACTAACTTCAAGCCAGCTCAGACTGGAACTGGACCAGCCTTTTCTCACCTTATTGGCACACTGGGCTTAATTAACTGTTTACTGTGTTTACTGTGAGACAACTGGTTTCAATTTGCTTTTGATGAACGAATGATGCCCCTCGGAGGTGAAGAAGCACATGATTACTGGCACAGAAAGAACTTTAAAGCTTCCTTGACTATTATGACAAATGATAAAATAAACATGGTGAAACACACATCTTCACAAGCGATGGGATTAATCAGTGTGTGTCACTACAAATGCCTGCAACAACAGATCTGATAAATGTCACTCTGTGATTACATTTACATATGGTACAGTTGAATAAACAACCCATTTGCAAACTGGCTGCTAAATAATCCCAAATTAAGATCAACTTTTTTTCAGCTGCATCTATATCGGGAAATAGTTCAACATTATCATTTCCTACTTTTTATTTTGCCATTTGTAATGTGAGAAACTACGTATCTCCTCGTGTTTTTAATTAGTCAAAGAAAGGAAACATCCCTCATTACACAAACTGCTCATAAACATGTTAAACTTTTTGCACTCTAATCACCAGGGTTTCTTCCTCACTGTGACTATTTTTTTAAAATTCAATAGCCAAACATGTATTTAAAAAAACAAAATTTTCCTGACAGTCTGGATGTGCAAGTCTAATTGCAAGTCAGCAAAAAAGCACTGGTTCACACTTTCAGCTGGTTAAACATAGATCTAAACTGTCTGTACATTAAAGCTCCTTAAAGGAAAAACCTGTGAGTTCTAGGAAAACACTTACTTTTCATTATATTTTTTTCTTATCGAAACTGATTCCATCATCATACCAGGAAAGATTAGAACTGCCCTTATTGTGTACAATGGGAAGCACAGATTAATCTGAGCACAAAGGGGCGTTACCTGTACAGTCTTGCTCTGTAGTCATTTACTGGTACATGGAGGAAGTGACTCATCTAGCTAGGCCAGTGAGGCAATATCATACAAACAATCCACATAACTTCTTATTAACATCACACTCCAGACCTTCGCGTCCATTAGCTAACAAAGTTGTCAAGAAATACTGAGCAGACAAAGTGAGAGATTTTTGTTAATACACTGCCAGAAAAAAAGAGTTTGTCTGTACAAATGCTGTTCTGAAGAGATGAACAGAGAGAGAAGAGGATGTTATTTTGTGCCAGTATGCTTCAGGGGAAGTCTAGTGACTGCTGAAACAATATGATTCTTCTTTTAGAATAGCCACATCAAATTTTAGGGATATATTTGATGAGTGTTTTAACTTTGGCATGCTCAGCAAACTGAAAATCACTGGAATTCACTGAAAATCCTCTCAAAAGTATTCATATCTGTGGCAACTTCATACAAATACTTTATATCCAGTACCTGTGGAGATATTGGGCTACTTGCAGCTGCTCTCTTGCCATAGCAGGTAGCTTTGTTATGTGTGATTTGGCAGAGTTTTAAACCACTAAATATAAATGTTTTAATCGTAACAGATTTAAACATCTCTGGCTGGTTGCACTTGGGTATCAATATGGCTGATTGGAAAGTATCAGAACACGCATTAATAAATGTCTTTGCTCTGTCTTTTTCCCCTCACCACCAACCAGTCGCAGCAGATGACTGCCCCTCCCTGAGCCTGGTTCTGCCAGAGGTTTCTTGCTGTTAAAAGGGAGTTTTTCCTTCCCACTGACACCAAAGCACTTGCTCATAGGGGGTCATCTGATTGTTGGGGTTTTCTCTGTTTTCTCCGTATTATTGAGTCTTTATCTTACAATATAAAATGCCTTGAGGCAACTGTTGTTTTGATTTGGTGCTATATATAAAATTGAATTAATCTTTTTCCTGCAACATTTTGAGTAAAAAGACTGAAAACCCAGCAACTTCTGTGGCTGACTGTGTGTTTGGAAAAGAGAGCCCTAGATTTAAGTTTCACTAATGGAGTTAGTGTAGTTCCATGAGTAAAGTTACAATACATCTAGCCTTCATTGACATCTCTTTCCTTATACATGCCAATCTCCACCTATTCAGAATAACAAAAAAAAAATATAGAGTGGATACAAGCAAAACATCATCTTATAAATATGGCTGGGAAATGTGAGATGTTCAATGAAAACATATGTAATTAAGCAGTCAAAAGAGTGAAGTGGGAAATCTAACATGTCAAATGTATGAACCAGTACAGTTTAAAAAAGGTTAGTTTTGATAATATAATATTAATATTTGTATCCACTTTAAACCACTGAATGAATTAAAATATAAAATCAAAAGGCAAAATAGAAATACAAATCAATGTCATATTAAGGTCAGTTAACTCAATTTTATTACAGTCTGAAATGTCACCACATTATTTCATAATTTTAAACGAAGATTGAAAAGATTGGAAAAAGGCAGATGAAATAATATGTAAATAAAAACCTAGCAGATAAACCAGAGCCAAATGCATTTGATAGCAAAGGTTTATTTACTTACTGTACCTCATGATGGTTACTTAATGAGACAAAAAGTTCGACCGCTTGCGTAATTCTTTTAGTTTGTGCTTGGTTTGAAGCTTTTCTACTCTGTGACAGAAAGTAGTCCCTAACACGAGAAAAAGTGAGTGATGTGGCCTGACGTGATTCTTAAATACTGGTCAGATTTTGTCCTTGTATGTCTCCCCACGTTGAAAAGAAAAACAAACCTGCCTAGCGGGTGGGGTGAAACTGAATTGCGAAACGCAACATGTGACCGTCGGCAGGGCGTGGGTGATGACGTCAGAGCCATCCCATTCAAATAGCAGAGTTCATATGACGTACCTATACAGCCGTCGCTCTTTCCTTCGCCGTAGCAAGTAGCTAACAGAGCCAAGCCGTCGTGTTCTTGAGGGCGACATTGCATAACCCTTATAGGTTAAAAACTAATTTTGAGCTCTCGTTTCTTTCTTGATTTTATTTTTTATCTCTTGGTTGACAAGAAAACAATTAAGCTGACGTTCCTTTTGTAAAGGTAAGATCTTGCGGTTGTTTTTAGTTTGGCCTGGCTACGGTTAGCCGGTCTACTAGAAAGTTCGCTTTAGTTGGTGATGGTGGATAGGAATTTGGGGCGGCGGCAAAATATCAAGTTAGATTTGTCTTCTTTGGCGTTGATTCGCCTGGTCAGCATCGAATAAGTTGTGAGGTATGGGGTTTATGGCCAGACTGAAGGCTTTGAGTTGTTTACAGCTTGTTAGCTCATAGCTTACCGGCGGCCTACAGAACAAAACCAAAATGTCGGTGCGTGGACATCCGGTTTCTAAACAAAGGCCTCATCAATCCCACTGTTAGGATTTTCCAGCTTGACTAGGGTGAAGAATTTTCTAATTATTAAAAAATGTAGAAGTTCGTGACAGTTTGGTTGACATATTAAACATGAGTTTTGGTTAAACAAAAGACTCTTTACCAGCGTGCTGGGGTTTTTGGTAGCGGTGGAATCTCAAACATTCGTGGGGAATGCTAGAAAACGGGTAACTAAACGTGTACTGACAAATATATGTTTTTATCCGCTGTCGGTGGAGTTAAAATTATAGATTTGTCCTACTTTCACAAAGCGTTTCCTGTGACGATGTTATTAGGATTACGTTTATTCTAGCTGATTTATAGATCTCCATGCAATATTCTAGTTTCAAAAGGTAAATTGAATAAACATAGATAATGGAAAACCGGGCGTTGACTTCTCAGTAGCTTGTTGTGCTAGGAAATGTTCCAGTTACGCAACGCTAGCATGCTCTGCTTCCACATTACTGGTAAGGGGACACGTGTTAGCGTTGATGTACCTTCGCAAGTTCCCTGAAACTTACTAAACGGAAACCAAAAGCGAAAGAGTACGTTGGGTATTATTGTCTTGTGTTTGCATGTGTCTTCATAACAGTCAGATGTGCTACTGTGGCCTTGTTTGTGTATGACACGTTAGGTCTTGGCTAATATGCTGCTGTGTCTTGACTTCCAGGTAGCTCTTTGCCCCCCCCCCACTCCCAGGACTCAATTCTTTTCAGATATTCTTTGTCAAGCCGCCAAAGTGGAGAGTGTCGTCGCACCAGGAGGTCCTTCTCGTTTCAGGTATTCAACATTACTCCACCATGTCTGGCTCCATTTACACCCAAGCACCTCTCACATAGTTCCCAAAATGTTAAGTTAAAAAACATTTTTCCTCTTTCTGTATCACAGTGTAGGGGGAGGAGGTGGGGGTGCACCTCAGCACTATCCCAAAACTGTCGGCAACAGGTGATTGTTGTTGTTTTTTTTTAACTTTATTATACATGTAACACATTAGTCATCACATCATCCACATACAGATGTTTACAAGAATCACAATTAGTGTTTCACCTGTTATACTCAAAACTGAAATTTCATAAATGGACGTGTCAGTCTGACATCTTACCCTTGACAAATACTCCCCAATTGTTATATTGTCTTTTTTTCAAAAGTGACCCTAAACTAATATTTAAAAAAGGGAAAAAAGAACACACAGTTGACTTCTAAACAAATGCTAAATTGAAATGTGCACTGACAGTGAAAATGAACTGAGAACACAAATTATCAAACTGCCAACTGCTGTAACCTCCTAGTGATCAACTTCAAAAACGCATAAACCTGATTAAAGTATGGCTGTCTGGTTAGACTTCATGCTTTGGGTCTTTTCATGTGTAACAACATGAGTAAAATGCAAGTATTATATGTGACAAAATCGAGCCCTTGTAATCTAACTACAAAACTGGGTGTTCCAGGATGGTTGTTCAGCTGTGGTTTATCAGTACTATGCTGAACTTTGCAGTCTTTTGTCTGCACTTTGTAGCTGTGTACTATCACATGGTGAAATTGTCAAAAATATGCAATAACTGGATGTGTGGGCTTTTCTTTTGCTTTTTTGTAGATAAGACAATCTGAATAAACATGATTTGTTTGCAGTTACTTAAGCGAGAAACAATCATAGCAGGTGGTGGTGGTGACTGTGGCTCAGTTGAACCCAGCCTGATTCAGTGTGTTGTTTGCCTCCTGAAGTGTGGGGGGTGGGGAGCAGAACTGGCAGGGAGAAGACCAGTTGAGGCTGGTTTAAACTACTTGTAGAAATAGATCATTGTTTACAAGAAACTCCAGTAGCTTCCCTCTAATGTTACTAAAACAGTTGAACAGAGTGTAACTTTCACTGCCATATTCATGTTGAAACAAATTGCAGTTGGTTTAGTGAAGCTGAAAAGAAAATGGCTAAAAATGTAAGGATATGACTCAGTACCCTGGTAGGACAGTAGCTTCCTTTTGTTTAGGTTAAAGAATCTAAATAAAGTCCTAATCTTGGAATTTCAAAGCCTTCTGTCACAGCAGTTTTACAAGTTGGTTCAGTGTTGCCAGTGTGAACGTTATGACACTGGCAACACTGAACCAGCAGCATGTGAATTGAAGCGGTCTGACTTGTACCATAACTTGTTCTATAATAAGTCACGCAAACTTCAAGTAGGAGCACAATATTTGTCATTCCTGGCTAAAAGTGAGACTCTTAACTATGTTGTCTGTGTAACCAAATCCGGGCTAAATATCAGCAAGACAAGACCATTTCCCTGATAACCTTTGCTGTCTTTGTTGATTATAGCGAGTTCCTGGGGAAAACCCCAGGTTCTAGCGTTCAGAGATGGGTACCTTCTCGAAGCACTAGACGAGATGCCAGCTCCTCCAACGAGAAAGGGCAAAATGATGCAATCTTCAGAAAAGTGAGAGGGTACGTTTCCCTTTAAACGGATTTGTACTTATTTCACGTAAACTGTAATTTGTATTGTTTAAATGTCATTTTAATATGGATGTTGAAGGCTGCTGTTTGTGCTGTATTATCATTTAAGATTTTTAATACAAACGTTTCTTTCGCCTTCAGCATACTTAATAAGCTGACTCCTGAGAAGTTTGACAAACTATGCCTGGAGCTCCTCAATGTGGGTGTAGATTCAAAAGTTGTCTTAAAAGGAATCATCTTGTTGGTGAGTATTTTCCTAACTGCTGTTCTCCTATTCATAGAATATTTAAAAATGGGATCTTAATGCGTTTTTGTGTTTCTCAAGATTGTTGACAAAGCCCTCGAAGAGCCCAAGTATAGCCAGTTGTACGCTCAACTATGTCTACGCTTGGCAGAAGATGCACCAAACTTTGAAGCCCCAACAACAGAAAGTCAGGCAACACAAAAGCAGAATAGTGTAAGTTTTAAGCATTCAAATGTACTCTGTACTCCTGTTGAGTATCTTCTGTCTGGATTTTGAATGACTTCTGTCTTGCAGACCTTCCGACGGCTTCTGATTTCTAAGCTTCAAGATGAGTTTGAGAATCGTGCCAGGAATGTTGACCGTGAGTAACTTGCATTTGTAACTGTGGACTGTTACAAAATGGGAATTTGGTCAAGGATTTTTTGAGAGCTGTTAAACTTTTTTTTTTTCTTCTTCTTCTTCTTCAACCCACTGTAGACTTCGACAAACATGACAGCCCACTCACCTCTGAGGAGGAGGAACAGCGTGCAATTGCAAAGATCAAGATGCTGGGCAACATCAAATTCATCGGTGAACTGGGCAAACTCAACCTCATCCATGAATCTATTCTCCACAAGTGCATTAAAACAGTAAGTTCTAATAAAGCACAAGTACATGGGATGGTTTTATCAAAAATCCAGTTTTCATTCCTGTGGTGTAAGAAATTAACAGTTGTTTAATTATTTTGTTCTTTAAGCTGTTGGAGAAGAAGAAGAGAGTCCCACTTAAGGATATTGGTGAAGATTTGGAATGCCTCTGTCAGATAATGAAAACAGTTGGTCCCAAACTTGATCATGAAAAGGCAAAGGTGAGTGTGTGGAAATTAAACTGAAAAAGATGAGTCTTGTCTTGAAGTCCTTGGTTGTTCAATAACTTTTTTTTTTTAAATTATTTTTACTTTTTCTCGCTTACAGTCTTTGATGGACCAGTACTTTGCTCGCATGCAATCCTTAACCAACAGCAATGATCTGCCTGCACGGATTCGCTTCCTGCTGCAGAACACGGTGGAGCTGCGACACAACAACTGGGTGCCTCGGAAAGCTTATGTTGACAATGGACCAAAGACTATTACCCAAGTTCGTCAAGATGCAGTAAAGGTTAGTTGACCATATCCTTTCAGTTTATCACAGGCTGATGAGGATTGATCTGATTTGCTGGATGACTAATGTAGCCCACAATCGGTGTATCCTTGGATCCTGACTTTTTCTGTGCTTTGTAGGATTTGGGCGTTTTTATTCCACCTTCAAGTGATTCAATAAGGAATGACTTCTTCATGGACAGTTCCTCCTTCCTTCCAGGAAAGATCAAGTATGATAGGGAGACTCTTGGTGGGCTGGCCGACATGTTTGGACAAATGCCTGGTATGTAGAGTCATGCTGCTTTCTTTGAAGTGTAACTCATGCAGCGATTTCAGTCTCTAAAGGCTCTTGTCTTATGTTGTGTAGGAAGTGGCATCGGCACAGGCCCAGGGGTAATTCAGGACCACTATTCCCCAACCATGGGTCGCCACCGCGGCAGTGCTCCAGGGGTAATTCAGGACCACTACTCACCAACCATGGGTCGTCACCGTAGCAGCCCACTCTTTAATGGCCACAGTGGAAACAGCAATGGGTCACACCAGCCATATGAAAATGAAAGCAAGCCGTTCATAAAACCGAACCAGGTACATTATAGTTCAGCTCTGTTTGTTTTAATCTGAGATGGTCAGTGCAATACTCATTCTGTTTTTAAACTTTTCAAAGGGGAGAAATTCACCAGTTTTCAACCATAAACAGAATCACTCAGTCCAGATGCAGTCAAAGGATATGGCTCCAAGGTTCAGCAAGAAGGGGAAAGTCAATGCAGATGAGGTACAGCTGCTTACATTGATGGTTTGTTAGTGTCATTGTTGCACATGATTATGTGATAATAAATTGTGGTTAATCTGATGCATTAATACTCCGTCATTCCAGATCAGTCTGAGGCCAGCACAGTCCTTCATTATGAATAAAAACCAAGTGCCAAAGCTGCCGCCACAGACAATGATGCCTTCTCCAGTTGGACAGGTAACAGACAATAGACTTAAAACATGTGAGCAGAGCTGATGGGGCAGTTTCAGGAACTGCATGCTAAGTTTTCTTTTTGTGGCCCTACAGCTTGGTCTTAAAGCCAATCCTCCTCCAATTCAGGAAAAACCTGCAAAGTCTAACAAAAAGGCTCCTCCCACAAAGGAAGAGTTGTGCAAAATGACGGTAAGTTTGTTCAAAGCTTTACCCATGACTTCCTAAGTAATGTGTTATATATGGGGCCTTCATAGCCTGATATTTTTTATTTATTCCCCCCTCATCTTTAAAGGAGACACTACTCACAGACTACCTAAACAACAAAAATGTTAACGATGCAGTGAGTGCTGTGAAAGAGATGAAGGCCCCCAAACACTTCTTGTCAGAGATGATGAACAAGATCATAGTCTGCTCACTCGATCGTTCAGATGAAGATAAGGAACATGCAAGCACTCTGATTCACACCCTCTGCACAGAGGGCCTCGTCACTGGTGACAACATATTGCAGGCAAGTTTCATTAAAGTTTTTTATTTATTTATTTATTTATTTATTTATTTTTTTTAAATTGACAGTGTAATCAAATACACCATATTAACCTTGTGCCTGCCACACATTTTCAAACAGGCCTTCCTGGGTGTTCTGGACCAGTGTCCCAAGATTGAGGAAGAAATCCCACTGGTGAAGTCGTACCTGGCTCAGTTTGCAGCACGAGCGATCATTGCTGATCTGGTCAGCATTGCAGACTTGGCCCATCAGCTGGAGAATGGCACACATTTCCCACTCTTCCTGCTCTGTCTGCAGCAACTGGTGAAACTGAAAGACCGTGAGTGGCTGACTGACCTTTTCCAGCAGAGCAAGGTCAACATGCAGAAGATGCTGCCTGGTAGGTGAAAGGACACACTGGTTTTAAATTAAGTGTCATTTGGTTTTCTTTTCTCTTTAGGAGGAAGAATTGGTGTGTGGGTTCTTTTTGGGGTTTTTTTCTCTTCTTCCCCATTACTGACTAGTAATTATGCTCCCATAGAAATTGACCAGAACAAGGACCGGATGCTGGAGATTCTGGAGGGTAAAGGCCTCAGCTTTTTGTTCCCACTGATGAAGCTGGAAAAGGAGCTGCTGAAGCAGATCAAAGTGGATCCTTCTCCGCAGTCAATCTACAAGTGGATCAAAGACAACATCTCTCCAAAACTTCACACCGACAGAGGCTTTGTCAACATTCTCATGACCAGGTACAGCAGTGGACAGTATTTATAGTGACTCGGTCTGCATTGATGAAGCAAGCACATGCCATCAGCCACTGTATTTTTGTGGTTTTCAGTCAAGTGCTTTAACGTGTGTTGGTCTTCTGGTCCTCCAGTTTCTTGCAGTACATTGCTTACGAGAGCAACCCTGACGATGATGAAGAGCAGCATGCATCGCCCAGTAAGGACCAGCTGGAGGAAGAGAAGCAGCTCCTGCTCTCTTTCAAGCCGGTGTTGCAAAAGTTTCTTCACGATCACATTGAGCTGCAAGTCAGTGCACTGTATGCCCTGCAGGTGCACTGCAATGCCAAGAGGTTCCCTAAAGGTGCGTGCATGCATGTGCAGTTACAATAAAACATAACCTTAAATAAAGCTGGTTGCTAACTTATTTTCCTTTTTCCAATTAGGCATGCTGCTGCGCTACTATGTGAACTTTTATGACATGGAAATAATTGAAGAGGAAGCCTTCCTTTCATGGAAAGAAGATCTCGCCCAAGAGTATCCAGGGAAAGGAAAAGCATTATTTCAGGTAATGTGCAGCCATTGAAGTATGGCTTTGTGTGGACTGCCTCCATTGACACCATTGTGCCTATTTGTAAATGAAACACTTCAGTGGCTGTATTGTTGTTCTGGTGCAGGTGAATCAGTGGCTGACCTGGCTGGAGACTGCAGAAGAGGAGGAGTCAGAGGATGAAGAGTACTGAGGAATAGGCCAAAGCCATGTCTTATCAGATGCAGACTTGTTTTGGGTTTTTTTTTTTTTTTTTTCCCTCCTTATTTTTCCATCTTTTTTGTTTTGTTTTTTCCTCCTGTCTTTCACGCTCTTCTTGTAACCACTGTTACAGTTCATTTCACAATGAGATTGTTCTGCCAGCATCACAAATCTTATTTATGCTCCAAGTTTCTATACTGTTCTCTTTGATGTCCTACAGCAGATGTTTTATACACTTCAATCAACTTGGGTTTAAGAGTAGACAGTATTTAGCAGGAAAATGCACCAGCACCCAGAACTTGACCCATTTTTGTCACCTTTTTACATCTGGTAGGAGTCACCAAGTGCTGTCGCAATTATTTAAAAACTGTTTACAAAAGAGGGAGCTCGCATTGCAAAGAGGCTTTCTCCTTTTTTAATCTACATTTGCTAATCGGTTTTTAAATGCACTTTGCTTAAACATCATGAGTCGTTGCAATAGTAAAAATTTAACTTCCCTTGATTTGTTAAACGTGATCATGACGTTGTTGTCTGCCATGATTATAATGAGACTAATGCTTAGAAATCGACCATTTCTTAACCTGGGTGAGGCCTGTTTTACTTGCACGGTGTGATTTCAGTTACCGCCTTGTAGTTTAATGAATCGAGAGGGTTTTTTTATGTATGAAACAAGTTGTGCTGTCAGGAATGAATCTGTGTGGCCTTTTGTTTTCTTTTTTTAATTTATAAGGATATACCTCTGTTTCTCGGACTATACTTGAATGTCTCGGGTTTTGACATTGAGACAGCCAAAGCTTGGTTTCCTTTGCTACGGTTGTTTGTCACTTGTGGAAATTTTGTCCATCTGCCATATTTGTCAAGTTCTTAAACGGTCTTTTTATCTTCATGAAATTACCAAGAATGTACTGTTTGTGTACTCTTCTTCTGGAGTGTTGTAACATTGTGTGCTAGAAGTCGAGTGTACAACTACAGATCAACCTTGAATAAAGTTTAACAGTTGATGGCTTTGTCCTGCTGTGTCCTTTTTCCACCTCCCCAGCCAAAGTCATAAGACTTGAAAAATGGTATGTCCTCCTAAAAAGCTATGACTTCTCAGGTTTAGGCCACAAAGCACACGGATCACAAGAACATAGTTATGAAACTATGACACTATGAAGTGACTATTGTAGTGTATTTTACACTACATAAAATTGCAATATAAAGTTGAAATTGAGGTGCCCCTCTCATGCTGCCGTTTTCTCTGTAGAAGATGTGTAGGGTGTTAAGGGTGTACATCTACTGCAGTGTGTATACTTGTACTAATAGATGGAGGAATTGTACAGAGAGCCACAGCAGGTAATGGTTCCCTGTGTTATTCAGTGGTGCATTTGGGTAATCTGTCTTACTGAACATGTGCCTTTGACTGACCAGCACATCATGGAGTAGGTAGGTGAGAGGCAGTGTCCTTGATTTAGAAACATACACCTTCAGTTTATTAAAATTATAGCATAGATTGAACAAGCTGCTGGAAACATGCTTCAGATTCTGATCCATGTTGACATGATAGCATCACACAGATGCTGCATATGTGATATGAATCTCCTACCACATCTCAAATGTGCCCCATTGGTCTGAGATTTGGTGATTGTTGAGGCCATTTGAATAAAGTGGATTCGTTGTCATGTTTAAAAGGATTTGAGGTTTGTGATATGACACATTATCCTGCTAGAAGCAGGTATGTGGGTACAATGTGGTCCTACAGGAATGGACATGGTCAGCCACCATACAAAGGCTGTGGTGTTTAAACAGTGTTTAGTTGGTACTAAGGGGCCCAAACAAACTATCACACACCCTCAGAAGCCTTAACCATTGATACAAGACAGGATGTATCCATGCTTTTATGTTTACACCAAATTCTGACCCCCATCATGTAGCAATGTAGCTGAAGTGGAGACTAATCACAGCAGGCAATATTTTTCCAACCTTTTATTGTGTAATTTTGGTGAGTTTGTGGGAATTTTAGCCTCAGTTTCCTGTTCAAGAGTGGCACCCACTGTTGTCTTGTACTGCTGTGGCCATTAAGACATGACATGTTGTGTTTTCAGTGATGACTTTATGTTTACTTTGCTTGTAACAGGTACTTTGAATCACAGCTGCCTCAAAAAAATCCTGATCTCAGATATCAACAAAGCAGAGAACCATCACTCATTGCATGTGTCCTTTTTTTTGGGGGGGGGGCATTCTCTTTAAACCCTCGAGATGGTTGAGTGAGAAAATCCCGTCAGTTTCTGAAATACTGACACCAACAACCATGTTACATTCAAAGTCACTTAAATCACTTTTGTTCTCCATTTTCATGCTCAATTTGAACTTCAGTGGGTTGTCTTGACTACATCTACAAGCCTAAATGAGCTTCCTGCCACGTGATTGGCTGATTGGATAGTTGTGTGAGTTGAACGGCTGTACCTAACAAAGCAGATGGTGCTTACTGCAGGTTGAATTGTTATGACTTTTACGTACTTGCTACATGTTTGTCTATAGTTTTAGTGATTTGTCTTCATACACAAGTAAAAACAATGTTAAATCAAGTGTTTCTCTCAGTATTTTATCAACACCACCTTACCAAAAATGTAAAACAAATATAAATATACCTGTACTTGCATGACAAATTATGACTGTGGAGGAAATAGAGATGAAAAGATGTGGTATGAACCCATTGTTAGTATGAATGAATAGTAGTCTTATTGAACATCAGCGTAACCAGGCATAGCAGTCAACAATTACAGTGATGTGTCGACCTGATTTAACTCAGCAGGTGTTTGATCACATCACGATGCCCCTGCTGTCGAGCACAAGTATAGGACACCTTTTTTAATGCTCTACTGTGGTTTACAGCCCCTGCACACCTTACCGGTACTTTTCAAAGGCAAATAAACATCTGTACAAAATAAGCAACAAATTTTTTGGGTTTTTTTTTATTTAACTTTTTTTTCTTTACACATTTTAGCAAATTTTAACAAAACATCAAGAAAAGAAATTCCCAGTAAGATGTGACCAAAACGCTATGCGCAAAAAAAATTATCATACGGACAGAAATTCTGCTTTTATTTCAAACAAAAATGCAGATGTTTAAGAGTTTTCTCAGCGTTACATGAGTCTGGGTGATGTGACGAGTTAATCACTGTCATCATCTTCGTTGTTGGAGGCCTCCTGCTCGGAGCCATTGTCAGAGCGGCGTGGGGAGCCCTCGTTGTCCGATCCCGCTTCAGATCCTCGGTCCGATGCCGGAGCGGGTGATCCGGCCCTAGATTCATCATCTGATCCCGACCGACTCCTCTTGCTCTCATTGTCCGACTGTTCAGAGTCAGACTGCCTCTGCACCCTTCTCTTCTTCACTGGACGGTCGCTGCCAGATTCGTCGTCGTCAGAGCCGGCGGAGCGCCGAGGGCTGCCTGCCTCACTACCGGAGCGGTTACGGCCGCCGTCGGAGTCGCTGTCAGATGCAATGCGCTTCCTGTGGCCGACTTCATCGTCAGATCCCGAACCACTATCTCTTTGATGTCTGGATGGGAGAAAGAGCGCCATGAGGTTTGTGTCAAATAATGTTTTCAAGGCTTCGTAATACTGTAAAAATCTCACATTAAGCTTTTACCTGTCTTCTGCTATTTTCAGTCCATCCTCATCTGAGGAGGACTCAGAAGACGAAATGATAGCCTTAGATTTGATCTTTCCTTTAAGAGACGGAGGCAGACGCTCAGGCTGAGACTGAAATGAGAAAGATGTTACAATTATAAGAGAAACTGGAGCTGAAAACTGATTTTGTAAATTCTGAAAACTAATTGAGACAGAGAAAAACAGCAAATAATGACTAAAGCGGACCTTCTCGATCTTCTTGCGTCCTTCTTTGGGTTTACGCTGCTTCTTGGGTCGTGATGTTCCTTCCTCATCGCTGTCATCTTCTCCTCCTTTAGCAGGTCTGCAACACAAAATTGAATCCCAGAATCTAAATGTTGTGCTCTGCAGTCAGACTAAACAACATTTTGCATTCACTGCAGAACACTTACCTCCTCTTCTTCTTCTTCCTCTCTCCCTTCTCATCCTCCTCCTGTTCGCTGCTACTGGCCTTTCTCTTCTTCTTCTTCTTCAACGGCAGGTCCTCGTCAGACTCGTCATTAACAAAATCGTCCATGTCGCCTCCTTTCTTACGCTTGGAGAGAAAAACAAAAGAAAAAGTGTTAACCACAATGCATTAAGTGCAGTTTAGAGCTCGCTGCCGGGTTTAGCAGTATTAACACTCACACGTCCTCCTCCACCACTGCTGCCCTTCTTCTTTTCTTTGGACATTTCCTTTGATCCCTCTGCAAAGGTCAGCAGGTTCTTGGTCTTTTCCACATACAAAGCTCTCTGCTCCAAAAGCTTCTTCTGCTCCTCCACTTCTCTGTTCCTCTTTTCCTCCTAAAGAAAGTTAGTTATTGAGACAACCCAACAGATGACTGATTAGTTTATTTAAAAAATGAATCACAGTCAGACATTATGGGCAAAATGAAACGCATCATGGTGATTACTTAAATAAAAAATAAAAAAAAGGTACCTGTTCCTTTATCAGCTGTTGGCGCAGCAGGTCTCTCTCCTGCTCTTGTTTCGCTCGAAGCTCTTTCTCCTCCTCGTCCTGCTTTCTGGCTCTAGCTACATGGTACTGAGCTTGACTCAGCAAGTCAGAGCACTGCCTGCATTCCCAAAACACACCAATATTCCAAATGATGTTACAAAAGACACCAAACACAGCCCCCCCCCCCCCCCCCCAAAAAAAGCTCATTAAATTAAAGACTGATAGAAGTACTGCCAAATCATCACACTCAATTTCAAACTGGTCTTTCTACTCTTGGGTCTGTATGATGTCAGTGGGAACCAGATCCACACCCCAACCCCACAAACCTGCTGTTTTATGAGGGGCAGCCAATCAGAAGACTGGGGGTCAGAAAGAAGCTAAAACAATCTGTGGATGAACTAAAAGGCTGCACTGACCCAGGATCAGTATAAACTAAATAAGGAATATTTTGAACTGTGAAACACCT